GAAGAGAAGAGAAGAGAAGAGAAGAGAAGAGAAAAGAAAAGAAGAGACGTATACTGCAGGCTTCTCGGAATCCCAATTTTTTCGAACTCCGATAATCCAGAGCACATCAATCAGTATTCACAGTAACGCCACGTGTAATGTAATGTAAATGTGAGTTAAATGCAACTGTACCGCTTGTTATTAGCACGATTGTCAGGAATGACCCAAATTATAAACAGCAAAGAAAGGTTTGCTGCACCATCCTTAATTTATGATCTTGTTAGATCAAACAAGTCTTTGATTGAAATACTAATTCTGTGGCTAATTTTGAATAGCATGCTGCGCGGATCGATGTCTACAGTCGCTGGATTCCCGAATTTGCAGTAAATCGCTTACACTTGGCTAGTGATATGGCGCGTATTCAGCGTAACCATGCCTCAGAGCCTACCTATCAAGGAAATCTGGATTTGTATATTTGTAAAAAGATTCATAGTAAAAAGTCAGATTCAGTGTATTTCGTCCCTGGTAGACGGGATTCCCAGAATATCGGTGTTGACGGAGATGTTATAGCTCCAGCTCGTGGTCGTGTGGTACACGTGGCTGCTAACCGCCCACATAGCTCTATTATGGTATGCATATATTTAATGTTAGTCTAACTAGAATTAATCTTGAATGGAGAGCGCAAAGCAAACTATCAATGGTATCTCGAGAGGTTCTCGGATCTACTGGTTGAAGCGTACAAACTCAATATCTGTACGTTTGTTAACGCGGACTTCTTGAGTTGAAGCTTCCTTGTACAAAGTGCAAGGTGTCCCAGCTGTACTGCCCCACCAGACGGCTATGTAGGCTGCGAGCAACTTCGTATTAATGGGCAATAACATTTCTGAAATGCCCTCGACAAGGCCTACATTTTTCGTCCTTTTCTTGTCCGAGTATATGGGCAGCTTCGAAATGAAAATTGTCCAGATGTATGAGTATTACGTTTGGTATATTTTTAATCTTTAAATCCAAGACTTTTGCCTTTGCTGTACACTAGCGCACTGCAACGGATGGAGCGAATGAGCGTGCCGTGTCTCTGACTTCCAGACGAATGGTTAACATTGTACTTGTTGCTTCCGTCTACATCCATAAAAGCTTAGAGTACGGACTGCATTGCACCACCAAAATCGATTTGCAGGGAATAGAAATCGTAAATTATCGAATTGTCGTATATTGGACTTGCACGTTTACCTTTTGCTGGCGTATCCGTATAAATCACAGCAAGGAATAGTCGTTCATGATCTGTTCAATTTGAAGAAAAGCCCCTTCAAAAAAATCACGCTCAATGCCAAAGCGTTCATAATGGTGCAAGTAGGCACCGTGTGAGAACATGTCGTAGGCCTTGTCCATCACGATAGACAGGTTTTGCAGGATTGCTTTCGAGTTGCTAGATTTGAGGCACCGGTAAAATAACTTCAATTTCTCTATTTTGTTGTGACAAGTACCTGATCAAAGTCCCCGTCTTGTCGTAAGCATTGAAGTTGGCGCTGGAGAAATAACATCGAAACGGATCCGCATTCCAAGGGGCATACATGCGTGGGTCCGATAATGATGATGCATTAGCTAGATGTGAGCCTTCTCCTCGTAGAACGAGTATGCTACCAACCGAACGGCTGAACGCTCTTTCGTGGACATTATTCAGTGAATTGTCCCATAAGATTTGTTCCTCAAACGCTGCGTTGGTAATGTGCATCTAAAAACAGAAGACATCCATCAGAGACAATTTTGGCTACGCAATCTTTTTGAAAACAGAAAAAGTTATAAACCTGGCGTAGATATTTCACAATGCCTGTCCAGGTGTGAGTGCTGAACTCCTTCGAGTGATCAGACATCAGAGGCAACATTTTAATGTCCAGCAGCTTGAAGGCCTACAGCAGCTTGTATGAGCATAAGAAATGCATGAAAAGTGTAAAGCATCTGAGGTCATGTTCATGGAGATCGTACTGGATTTTGACATAGTCGTTCGCGAATTTCAGTCAAAGGCTCAAGCATCCTACCCGATCGATGCGACGTAACAGTGTCTACTGACAAAAATGAAGAAGCCATGTGAGTTGCCAAGACTTCGTTGATTGCGTCGAATGAGGGATTTGAGATATGGAGAGCCTTCTGGCATATCAGCTTCGCAGCTTCATTTTGCATTATAAAAATTCCGTGAGCGACCTTGGCTAGACTTGCTAATGAGAGCACTGCATTGTAATTTTGTACAATTACTTCTCCAGAGCAACATGGCCACACAACTGCATTCAGCAAAGAAGTCGATGGATAATAGTCCGCCAGCTTTTCTGTGAGGAACGAGCCTAATCCAGAGCCTGTACCTCCTGCTGCGCTCTGCAGAGTAATGAATCCTTTGAAAAGATCACACCTCTCAATTTCCTTACGACACGGACACCAAATTTCATGGTAAGAACTTAGTTGAGCTTAGAAACATCAGCCTAAACGGCGTGCACGCACTGATTGCACCAAATTAAGCAACTCGCTTTCCGACTCAGTGCTCTGTGTGTGAAACCCGCTGGCCCAATTATTTCCAGACCCACTCTGTCTCGTAAACAAATTCTTCGGGTCATACGACCACACAACACCTGCTTTAGAAATCTTTTCCGAATGATAGCACTCCTGAATGACCTTTGGCTCCATGTCGATTAGTATTGCGCGTGCTCTTCGCTCACCAGGACTGACAGCTATCGATCGATCGCTGCACATGTATTCTGACGAACGAAAAAACAGAGAATCCGCTGAGCTGTTCACATTCTCTTCCTTTGCGATCTTGTCGAACAGCGCGCGCCCGAGCTGGTTGCCACACTGTCCAACCTGCAGCGCTAACATGAGAGTTTCTAATATCGCACTTACCAGAGTTTACACAATGCACTATTTTGTTTTAGAGATATCGGGGGGATTTAACCATCGCTCACAACGGGCATGTACAACGGCATCGGCCTACGCACGGTACGCGGTTCCGGCACGAATGGATATGTGCAACGTAATTTGAGCTATGTGAACATATCACATGCGCGTCAAAAGCTTGCGCGCAACCAGCGTGGGATTCAATCTGGATTATTAGATACTCGTGGAGGTGGTAGAAACCACCCGCCGCCAAACCCAGATATTCTGCTGCATGAACAAAAAAGAAAGGTAGAGCTGCAGCTACTAGAAATGTCGCTGGAGATGGAGGGTCGTGGATGCGAACCCGATGATATTCATGCTACGGTAAAGCGAGAGCGAGAGCGACTGCTAGCGCGTCTAAATGATAAACGAGGTGACAAGGCCAACAATGTGGAGAATTCGCGCAGTCAGCAGAAGTATAGGGAAGACAATATCGAGCGCATCAAAAATGCTTTTGGTATTGACAATGACTACGTGGCTGGAGAAAGCTTTGACCCGGAGATGCAGGAGCGGCGTCGTCAGGAGAGGAAGGAGAGAAGAGAGCAAGATTGGAAAGAGAGCGAAGAGGCGCGCCGAAGGAACGTTAAAGATAAAAAGGAGGAAGCGATGACGTTGCCGAAAAATCATGATCTTCCTTCTCGCTCTTACTTGTCAAGATCGAGAACACATTCTCAATCTAAAATTTCGACAGATCGACGTAGCATCGATCGATCGGGCAGTAGTCGAAGTGATACCAAGACGGGTCACGGCTCGACTTGTAATGTACGATCTTTAGAAAAGAAGCACTACCGGCGGCTGCCGTCAAATGCAAATCGGAGGCGCCGCTCGACTTCCTCATCTAGCTCTGGATATATTCGCAGCAAAGGCTTGAGTGCGCTGAATAGTTCACAGTCACGTTCTCGCGCTCTGAAAGCGTGGAAGAATCGTCAAATCGAAACGGAAAATGCGGCTTGCAGTGATAGGTCAAAGCGCTTGCAATCGTTGCAAAGCTTGGGTCTAAACACAAGATCTCGATCTAGCTCCAGCACTGAACTGAACCACAACCGCAATGTTGCGGCAGGAGTTGATCGTGGAAAGAAAGTTGAAATGACTGAAGGGCAAATGGAGTCAAAAATTCTGTCAGAAAGAAAATCGGTCTCACGTCCAGCTCCTTCTGACGGCGAGTACAAAATTTTGAATTTGTCTGCGCCTGCGGTAGCTGACGGCGTGTTGCTTAGTGAAGAGAGAGGAAAATCAAGTTTGTCTTTGGCAAAAATTACGACTGATGAGCAGAAAAACCTCACATCGAAAAAGCAGGAGGCGAATCGCAAGAATGAACCGAAAATCTATGCTCAAAATAAGAAAAACGATCAGCTCACAAAACATGAAAAAGAAAAGAATATAAAGGCCCCTGATTCTTCGATTGCAGATTTGCGGACGCGATCTTCAAAGCGCAATCTGCACAGTAAATCTCCAGACGATAGACGTCGACGCGGAAAAAGAATGAGAAGTCTGTCATCTAGTCCTCGACACCCAGGTGAGCGGTCGCGCCGAAATAATTCGCGGTCTTCAGGAAGATCCAACTCGCGGTCAGACTCAACGGCTTCATCTCGCTTCTACTCGCGCTCTCGGTCGCCCTCTCGCTCGAAGTCTTATTCTCGCAGCTACAGAAGACGCGGGTACAGCTATCGCCGGAACAGTCCGCGCCGCAGTCGTAGTCGCGGCCGAACTCGTCGCTGATAGTATTTTTAAGCGACGGACAAAACCTAGATGATATGCTTTTTTATCGATGATGCAGCTTATTTGCCTTGAAGATAATACAACAAATGATGCTAAAAAAGCAAATCGAATATATGATGCATCCAAGCGTAAACACGTCCAGTAAATATTAGTACTCCAATTTTTGTGTCCCTGCGTATTTCAAAGCATTTAAGAACATTATATCATCCAACACCGCAGACGCCATGACTACCATCTCCCAACCGCAGAGTACCAACATCATTGATATTCCTACAGAACCCGATGTCAGCGCTCGAGAGGGCGGGTCTTCGCCAGCCTTAACCACCAAATCTGGCCATTGCTCGCGTGGACTACAGCGGCGCTTCTCTCAATTTCGGCGCTGTCTTGTCCGCATGTCGATTGGATTACCGATAAGCAGAGGAACTAGTGGTCTGACGATGATCATGACGCTGCTCATGATAGGAATCGTTGGAACATTTGCTCTGCACCAAATGATGAGCCCGGAGATCGAAACGCTTACACAGCAGCGCGAAACATTGAAGGATGAGGTTATGGTATTCCGACTCAAGGTAAGGGATCAAAACGATGTAGTGGCTGTAAATTTTATTTTAATGGAATACTGCTATGATGTCTGCTCATCAGCTAGAAAACATGACACGTGTTGCTGAAAGCCGCCTAGAAACCATCCATCTGCTGGAAACCGAGCTTGAGCGTCAACATGTGCAAGCAGCGGAGGCCGCAGCAACTGCTACGATTAAAGCAGAACATAGCATCTCTTCTAGCAAAGCTATGGAAAGTCTTGACAACGATGATTTACGTTCCAGCGCTGTGCTGTCAATGGTGCTTTACACGCTACTCTTAGGTTCCGTCGTGCTCGCATCTGTGCTATACCGGATATATTTCATAATTCGCGGAGAGATCTCTGCCCGATACAAGTTAGGAAAAAGAGAGTATATTGATAAGATCGGGATTGGTGGACCCATTATGCCGTCAATCACGGATTCATCTATGGACGGAAAGCAAATTATAAGAGAAACACCACCGCTTCCGCCCGCCCGAACGCCGATATCTGACAAGGCAGTAACCAATGGCGGTCGATTGGCTGGATCCGGTTGTGGAAGTACATCGCTTAGTCCCACACCAGCCGGGGCGCCTGCGCCACAGTGTTACAAGCGTGCTCCAGGCTTATCGCCAACTATCGTCTAAGCTCTCTTATGGTACAAACATTGCATGTAAAGTTACAATATTACTGTTGAAAGCAGCAATGATTATCAATGTGCAGCGATGGTGACTACGACGACAATAGCGCTTTAAAGTGAACGAGCTGCAATCTCACGTGGCAGAGCGCTTCAAATGCCTGTATTCACGAGAGATGCGGCGGTAGCGTGGAAGTATAGTAAACGTGGCTAAGGACGGTTGAGTCGGCTGCGTGAGAAAAGGAGCAGATGCATTAATGCTTCTGATGTCTCTAATGAATTAAAAAAAAATTGTGGCAAATCTAGAGTTATGCTTTCGAGGCTGGGATGATCGTCGGACTCAAAGAAAAGTCTCATTACTGACGGTGGTTCTTTTCGGTAGAAGAGTTGGTACTTTATCAACGATTACTAACCGCGTTGTGGTGCGCTTGTACATTGACCTATTGTGCAAGAGATGGAATACTGAAGCACATGCTTTGACTATAAGCATCCACGTAAACATGCACACAGATGATGTGCTCGTGCGCGATTTTTAGGAGCGGAATTGAAAGCCTCTCAAATGTTACTTCGCTCTTCTATGTCAAGAGAACATAAGTTTAGGATTGATCTGATGCTAGATATGTAAACAAAACTATTTTTTGTATTAATATTGCTCTTCTTTACTAACTGCTATCATTCCTCGGACCATTCTCAACATTCCTATACAGTAAAACCTGTCTAAATTAAACATGTTGAGACTGGGGGACAGTGTTTAATTTTACAAGGGTTTTAAATTAAACAGGTTTAATTTAGACAGGTTTTACT